GATTATCTTTTGGTCCAAGAATCCAATCTTCCTTTTCTTTTTATAAATCTCTTTTGTAATACTAGTGATATTAGAAGCTTGTGCTTTCTCTTTGTAGACACAGTGTGTCCAAATACTATATGCAGCTTACAATAGATGCCTTCAGATTTATTTGTGTCCCATTTTAAACTTTCCTTGTCTCGCTCATTTGTTAAATAAGGATGTTAACTTCAACAGCAAAATTTCAAGTCTGTGATTCATAGTACATTGATGAATAGGGCCTAAAACACCTTGGCTTTTTTTATATTTCTACTTAATGTTGGCCATGTCCTTAATAAAACCTTATCTTTTACTTGGATATTATTAGAGTCCGGTGACATTGGGTGGTACTATGGTCATTTAATAGTTTATATTCAAGTGACAAATGGGTAGTTTTAGCATGTTGTATGCATAAAATGAATAAAGCAGTTGCTCAAATTTGGCTTTTCTGTATCAGATGAAGTCTATTCTGGTCGGTTGATTCTGATTTGTCTCACTTGCTTGATTCTTGCTGAGGCAGCCTGTTTTGTCTAGATACTTTTTATTATAGACAGAACTTCCAAATGGAGTCCCTTCACCAGAATTTAGTACTATCAGGTAAAAAACAATGTAAGAATGCATTGTCCTTTTTAAATTTAGAGTACTTCAAATAAATCTAAAGTGTCTTTTGACCACAGGTTGAGATTTTTTTTGTACTTCGTTATAGTTACCTGTTTGATGACTTTCGTTGTATCTTGTGGAGATTGAAGCAGTTCACTGAGTCCCATTTAGAGTTAAGGAAGTCAGGCCTCTTTTATATGTTCACGACATTGCTGACTTTCAAGTGTAAAGAGAAAATCTTAACACACTTTCACTCTCGAAGAATGGAATATTGATAATGATAACAGCAGCTAATGTTCATTAAATATTTATCAGGGGCCAGGCCTTGTTCTCAGTGGTAACACATGATATTCTTAATTCACACAACAAACTACCCAATGAGATGAATACCCCCATTTTACAGAAGAGATAGCAGGAACATGGAGTGTTTACTAATCTGACCAAGATCACTCCTCTGGTAATGCAGTGAAGAGGGAATTCAAATCGTGGTCGTCTGTGAACAGACTGTACGCTCTCCATCACCGTGTTCTGCATATGGAGAGAAGTTAGGGTAGTGTTGGGACTGCTCACTTGTGGCCCTTAAGCTAGAAGACAACTGGGTATCTTTTGTAAAAATCCTTCACTTGTCTGTCACTGCCAGCAAAGTACATCTTGGTATATATAAGAACTAAGGAAATAAGCTACCTGAACCCTCTCAGGAAAATCATTGAGTGGAAAGATCTCAAGATACAAGACCCAGAATTTTTTAAAGGTGTTAATTGAAAATATTGTTTCAATGAGGAATGAAACTTGTCATGGTGTGATGGCTTAGTTATTCACTTTAATGTAGTCCCAGAAAAATGTCAGTTCATCGAGTGTGAAAAGGATGGGAAATGTTACTGAAACAAGGGCCAGAACGCCTCTGTATTAAGAAGAAAAGGACGTTTGGGAAAATGCAGGTGAACAAATAAAAATCAGACACTAAAAGATGAAAAAGAAAAGCATCTGATAAGTAGTGGAAAGGAAATTAAATGTAGGTCCTCGCTAACTGAGCTAAAATGTTCCCAGAGCCAGGTGTTGAGAGTTACACCATCCAGTAGTGTGCCTGTGTGTGTGTGAGTGTTAGTTCAGTCCCAGTGAGACGGAGAATGAACAGTTGGGCAGAGCTGAAGTAGGCAAATGCAGATAACGTGCTGATATTTTAAAGTGGTGGTGTAAAAAATGGTAGTATTAATGTCGAAGAAAAATTTAAGGTAAAAAATTCTGAGTGGGTCAAAGACAGATGTTATATATTTACTTATAATCCTTGATGCTATAAACCTTTATACTATTCAGTTATAATTGGCACCCACACAAGTAGAGCAAAAGCTCCAAGAAACAGAAATTTATTAATAGACAGGTAGGATAATCTAAAATATCCCTTTCAGATTTTGAGACATCAAAAAGTAAACAAGCGAAGATGTAGAGAATTTGAATCGTACATTCACCAAGCTTGATTTTTTTGGATTCACGTTGGTGCGAACCTGTGGCACCTGTGTCGCAGCCTGCTGTTAGCATTGAAAGCTCGCAGAGGTTCACCATCACTGCCTAGGGTCTCGATGTTGAGAACATATTTGAGGGTGGACTGTAGCTGCCGTCTGAGATGTAAGAAATGGAACTGATCCCGGTCCACTGAAGAGAAATAGGATGATGAAAGCAGACAGCTCCGTCAAACTAGGATTGGGAGTTAGTGAGATCCTGCAGTCATTCTTACAGTAAAGTGGAATGGATTCTTAGACATGATGTGATCTAGCGTGATGAAGAGACTGAAAACTGTCAGAGCCATGGGAGAGAAAGGCCCATGGACCTCCATAAAAGGGTAAAATGACAAAATAAAAGCTATATGATAAGTATGCCCCACTTCCCATGCGAAAAAAACTCCATAGGAGTTGGAGTATTCGATGAAGTACGTGAAAGAATCTATTTCAACTGGGGTTTCTTTCGAGGAGAGAACTATTTGGCCTTTTAGAATAAATTTTAAAAGCAAAATCTTTGTAAGTAAGTTTAATTCAGTTGGAGTATCATCTCAGTATGGTGACTCATGAATGCATTTTTAATTTCTCATTCAATAGTACTGGCCTGTTTAGAATTTCTATTTTTTCCCAATCATTTTTGGTATTCCTGTGTTTTGTTTTATTTTTGATTGCTTTCATTACTTGTTTTCATTAATTCTCTTACTTCCTTTTAGTTATTTCCTTCTTGAGTACTTATTTTCAATCATGCTGTATTTTATTTTTAATTTTTTAAATTAATTAATTAATTTATTTTTGAGACAGGGTCTCACTATGTAGTTGAGTCTGACCTGGAACTCACTATGTAGCCCAGGCTGGTCTCGAACTCACAGCCATCCTCCTGCCTCAGCCTCCTGAGTGCTGGGATTACAGGCGTGCACCACCACACCTGGCTGTATTTTAAATAATACAATAATTGAATTTTCGACTTAACGCTGGTTTAACCACTACCCACATGTGGCTGTGAAGCACTACAAATGATCCTAGCTCCACTGAAGAATGGAAGTTTTACAATATCTCATTTTAATTAATTTAAATTTAAATAGCCACATGTTCTGGTGGCTACCATATTAAATTGCACAATTCTAGATAACCTCTTTGAACAGTTTAAAATTTCCTCTTTGGGTGTCGTTTGTTTTTTGCGAGGTACTGAGGACTCAACCAGAGCCCTAACACTGAACTATATCCCATTTTGTTTTAGTTTTGATTTTTGTGGCAAGGTCTCTCTAAAAATCCTAATTTGCCCAGATCTTTGCTCCCAGAGTGCTGGGGTTACAGGTGTGCACGACCACAGCTAGCTGGTTTTTTTGTTTTGCATTGTTTTGTTTTAAGAAAAATATTACATAATTTCCAAGGACCTGTTTTTTTTCAACTTTTTATTGATTTGGATTACAGTGAAATCTGTAGAATATTGGCTTAAATGTTCAATATATATATATAAATAAGGTTTCATGAACATGATGAAGTTTATTTTTTGTCTTTAGAAGCAAATTATAAAAGTTGAAAAGCAGTGCTGCTTAACTACATAAAATTTTTTTTAAATCAAGAATTATAGTAAAACTATTTAAGGTATGGGAATAGAATAATAATATCACAAACCACTAGGGTGGATGAGAGGATTTAATGACTGTTTTAATACATGTAAAAACACTTCTAGCAGTGTCTGGCACATAGAAATTATTCAGTATTAGCTGTTTTTATTATACATGATAAAACTGATTTGCAAAAGCGGCAAACATTGAATAGCAACACATTTTGATTAAAATTTTGAATACAGCAGAGTTGTCCTTAAATCACTGTTTCTTATTTTTTGATGTTACTTGATTTCTTTAAGTGCAGTAAAAGTAGAAGATGAAATAACTGAATATTCCATGAGGAGATAAATTATTTAAAATGGGAACAGATATGATTATATACCTAGAAAAAACAGGAGATTAATAAAAGCCAATAAAGTTAATGTTCGTTGGATGGTGCACTTGTAAGATAAATACAACAAAGAGTAGTTCTTTATTATTGAAATAATTAGAAATCAAAGGTTTATGAAGATAAGGAAATATTTTTGTATTATATCCTTGAATTAGCATTTAAAGAAAGTCACACCAGATCTCAATACAAGTTGGCAGGCTTTCTAAATTAACACATGAATTCAATTCAATTCCTATTAGAAATTTAATGCATTACATTAGTAAATCAAATACAATTATCTTAAAGTTCATGTGGAATACTTTTTTTTGGGGGGGGTACTAGGGATGGAACTTGGTACCTTGCGCTTGCAAAGCACGTAGTGGCACCACAGAGCTAAATCACTGACCTGGAAAGCATTTTTTAATACCCAAGAAAATAAACTATGTACCTAATTCGATTTTTTAATTGTCTCCTTCCTTTTCACTGTAAACAGATATTTTGTAGTACCACTTGATTTTTTTTTTGGTACCAGGGAGTAAAGAGCTATTTTACAAAATTTAATGTCTTTTCTTTCTAAAGTTGTAATCCTAGTTTAAACTTAAAAATAAAATATTATCATTATAATAGTTATTTTGCTGGTACTGGAGGACCTTCACCTTGAACAACATCCTCAAATCCTTCACTGAACTGCCTGCAGTGGGCTGCCTTAGCTTCTCAGAGTGCTGGAATTACGTATAAGCGTACACATACCTGGCTTATATTACGGATTGACTAAGAGTTTTAGAAGTTTCTCATTTCTTTAATGTATACTAAAATCCAAAGTGTAACTTATTTTAGCTTTCCTGAACTTTGATGCTTTCTACAAAGGCAAGACTAATTTTTAACTCAAAAATTCAGAAAAGAATTCTCTCTTTATAAAACTCTTCCCCTTCTTTTTATGTCTCCAAGGTATGCAGCCACTCATGTACTCAGTTCAGGAGGCATTAAATGCCAGACCGTGGTGGATCCGTGTGGGGACTGACATCTGTTACTATAAGTAAGTACTCTAAGGATGAGATAACAGCATACAAAAAGAGGATATTCAATTTCACTGTAAAGGTCAAAAGTAGAATTATTGCTGCATTCTTTGTATCAGTGTTATGTGTTAGTAACTCTGAAGAGTCCTTTAGGGTTTTAGGTCTACACATTGGGCACGTAGATAGTAGAAATGTGTGTTGTAGGTAGACAGACTCAGACACAAGCTTTGTTTTCACCACTTAGTTTTGTGTCCTTAGCTTTTCAAAAAGGTTTAAAACTCTAGACTTCATTCAGTGAAACTGAAATTAAGAATTATAGGTTCTTTTATGTCAAATATAATTCTTTTCACTTCTTGTATTAGCACACAAATATTTGCCTCATTTTAATTTCCAAATTGTTTTACTTGGAGATATGTTCCACAGTTAGTTACACTGTATCAATTTACACAGTCATCTCTGACTTAAAATAGTGCTTTAATGTACTGAGTGAGAAATAAGTACTTGTTGGATTGAACTGGATCCTAATTTTAGATCTGGAAATAGCTAAGAGAAAAAAAGAAAAATTAAATAAGAATTATTTAATCTATTGGATAATTTTATTCTTCAGCTGCACTTCTAAATATTTTATGATTCTAAGAGAATTCATTGCTTTTCATTTTTATTCAGTTTCTGTGTGCAGTTTGTTTTTAGGTAACTTCCACTGTTTAATCCATTTTGCCTCCCAATTCATCCTTTGTTATTCTCAACCTGGCAGTTTCTTTGTAGTAGGTTTTGACTTTTAACATTGTGCGTATTTAGCACTAATGTCCCTTCTTTTTCAGCTTTACCAGTTTAGACAAAGATGACTTATGGAATTAAACTGTTTTAACAGTTTATGATGTGACTTCGGAAAAAATCTTTAAGTGCTGTTGCTTTTTGGGAATGAAAATGTCTGCTGGGCTTTATCTCAGTAAGATTTCTTCCCCATTTTTCTTAGCAAAATGAGTAGCAAATAAATGAGGAATAAAAATAAAGGTAATATATAATTCGTGTACATTTGAATACATCTCATATTTCTTCTAGTATAAAATATTCTGTGTCATCTTTCTTACAAAGTTAGAGTGAAGCAGTAATGATCTAGGTAGTGCTTGATCAGATTTTGGCAGAATTAATTAGACTATTTTCTTTTCTTTCTTTCTTTTTTCTGGTACCTAGGATTGAACTCAGGATCTTGCACTTGCAAGGGAGGCGTGGCACCACTGTGCTAGATCCCCAGCCCTGAAAAATTATTTAGACCATTAAAGGATGAAACTGTGTTTTTAAAGAAATACTTTCATGTTTTTATACTTGTACACAATAGAAATCAATCAGTGAATGGCTTTTTACATTACAAAATTATCATAGCACAAGTTGTTCTAGTTTATATATGAATGTGACAAGGCTTGTTTAAATTTTTACTTTTTCTTTTGGTTACTTCCAGATCTAGAATTGGGGTTTAAATTTAAATTCATCAAACATTTATTAACCATTTTCTATGTATCAGGCACTGTTCTGGTTGCTTTCATGAGGGCTGAAGTTCAGATATTAAGAATTAAAGCAATTTTTGCGTTGTGTCTTACCTTTAAATATTAGCTGTGTCCTCTAATGTTTGTCTTACCTATAAGATAGAATAAAATTACCTCTCACCAGTGTACAAACTAAGGTGTATTTCACTGGCTTTTAATGTATAAACTGCCGTGTAGCTCTTACGTGGTGGTATAAATACAGTGGACACTTCAGTTACTACTGGCCTGGCATTCGAACTACTTGGGGGTTATGACTGGAATTTTAGTTTTAACTTATGAACATAACTTTGAGTTATGGCCCGAATGCCAACCGTTTGTGCTTGCAGATGGTCTCATACCGATTTAGCCCTGAAAGAGTTCTGGAAGGAGCATGACTGCATCCTCTCCTGGGTGGGGTTCATTGAGAAATCCTGGTCAGTGTCTCTCTGAGGACACTGAGATCTGCTTGTGTAGAGGAGAGAGACTTTGAAGGCTGTGCAGAGGAGCCTGAGCCTTCGCTTGACCAACCTGAGTTACAGCCAGCCCTCAGCAATGAATTGAGTTCCTAAGTCTAGGGCCCATTGTAACTGTCCAGTTAGATGTTATGCTTTTGGAGGAAAAAGCTTGGCAGCGACTAGACTAGTTCCTTTGTTGGTTCACTCTCTCATTCATCATTGTTGATACTAGTGATTGAACCCACAGCCTTTGCACTGAGCTGTGTCCTCAGCATTTTCTATTTTTCAGAAGACAGGTTCTGGATAAGTTGCCCATGCTGGGCGCCAGCCTGTGATCCTCCTATCTTAGCCTCCCTTTAGGGCTAGGATTATAGCATGTGTCACCATCTTCTGCTGGAGCCAGTTCTTAAGCTTGTTTTGCATATCCCTTAATCCTTGTCATCGGATGTTTAGTCAGAATACAGTGCCTAAATTAATACAGGCTTCTAAATTAATAGTTTGAAGAAGTTCTTAAATATTAGTGCATGAATAAATGACGTAGAAGCCCTGGCTTTCTGAGAGGATTTTGAATTTTAAAGATTAAGTTGATAGAGCATTTTAAAATGCAATGTTAGCAATGTTTAAAGTCTTTAAAAACTAAGTTATTTAGAACTTTTTATTATGGAGATCTTCACACATTTATAAATGTAGAGAATAGGATTATTGTGCCCTATTAGCTAGTTTCAGCAGTTACCACACAGGGAGTTTTTAGCTTTGCGTTTCACCCTTAACTTCAACATTGAACTTTTGAAGCAACTTCTAGATACAGTGTTTTATCGAGAAATATTTGAATAGGTATCTAAAAATCAAAGAGCTTCTAAGACAGCCTAACCACAGTGCTATTATTGTACCTCAGAAAAATTAAGAGGTATCCAGTCAGTGTTCCAGCTTCCCTAGTCCTCATAAGTGTTGTTTTTATAGTTGTCTGGTTTCAGTTAGAATAACAAGTGATGATCACACATCGCAATTTTTTAAAGTATAAAAGTAATTATTTCCAGCACCAGTGAACCAAAAGACCATCAGAACGAAATACAAATCCATTAGATATTTCATGTTAAAATGGGTTATCAGCTAAGATCTGCCCACCTTCTTGATAGTCATAATCAATGCTTGATTTTTGCTGCTAGGTTCCTGAAATATTTTTTAAATTTCTAAGCTTCCCCTTTCTCTTTTTATTTGTTATTTAGTTGTTAAAGACTTTGGATTATTTATTATATGGAATATTTTACATTTGTGTTTTGCCAGTTGCATGGCAGTGGATGAAGTAAACATGTTTGACCCTTTTCACCTGCAGAAATCACTTCTCCAGAAGTTCAGTTGCTGCAGGTGGGCAAAAGGGAAAATCTTACTATACCATTACGTTCACTGTCAATTTCCCACACAAAGATGATGTTTGCTACTTCGCTTATCACTATCCGTACACATACTCAACTTTACAGGTGAGAACTTGGAACTAAACTGTTATTGCCAATTGTGCTTCTCTGTCAGGTAATTGAAGAAAATTTAATTAACTATCTTAAGGAAAAGGTTTGGTATGGGAGATTTCAGAAACAGTTTTTATTGGAAACATTACAGGGCAGAAGGTGGGAATGCAGCCCTTATTGAAAGAAATATGAAGGAAATTTGACATGATTTTTCTCCTCATCTTTGGTAGAAATTTACAATTCTTTAAGATTCCATTATTTACAGATTTTAAACTAGGTAAGATTTTGACTGTTTACCTAGAAGCATTGAATCTCATAGAAAAAAAATAATTAGGAAAAGTGGATGTAATTTGGAAAAATTGAAAAACAATTTTGTGGGAGATTGTTTCATTGTGGAATTGTAGATCTAGGTTCCTTAGAGTTGTTTTGTTTGAGATTTTTAATATTTGCCTTATTAAAATGAAAAACTAAATTAAGTGATGAATTAAGTGATCAACTGTGGTGGATTTATTGGCAGAACAGAATAGTTATCCTGATGGCCCAGGATCAGGAATGTGTGATTAGTTTAGCAAGAAAAAAATTGGAGCAGTATAATTAGAAACAAGCTTCCAAACTATTAGAGAAGAGGAAAAAAGAAATGTAGTCTGTAGATCAGGAGGGATATCTGGTTGAGAATTCTAAATGAGCCTCGGTATATTTTAACAAGGTCACCACCTGCAGTAAAGGTATGATGTTCAGGAATCTTGGTGTGCTCAGTACCATGGCACCAGAATATGTACATAATGACTTGGTTAGCTCCATTTTGGGGTAATGCATCTTAGGGAAATAATTATGAATGTATATAAATGTATGTTTCGGACATTTTTATTTGCTTGGTTGTATATTATTGTTCTTTATCAACCTTGCCTTCTTAGTATATTTTGAATTGCTCTTTCCTGCAGTCTCACTACCGTGGCCTTTTCTACCCATTATCATTTTTCTCAGCTGGACTTGTACCAACCCTTTCTAACTGGTGTCCTAGGATTTACTTTTGCCCCCTTTCTTCTTCATTGGTCTGTTTTTGCACAGTGGCAGAGGGTACTGTTATGGCCATTCTCAGATAGAAATCCCCTGTTTAAAACTCTTCAGTGATTTCTTGTTCTCTTTCTATGAAGTCTAAAATTCTTACCATGATACATTTATTTTCACATTTTGCCATGTCCACAAATTGTTTGAACTATTATTTAAAATTTATTATACAGTAGAGGCATGTGGTGAGGCGGGTACAAAGTGGGACAAAACTATAAAACCCAGTGTTTAATTACAAGGTGGGTATGAGGTGGGGCAAAACCATGACCTACCAGTAAGTTTACAAATATAATCTCCAAGGTAATATTGATTAAATGGGGGTCAAGGGGGGAGCAAGTCACCTAGCAAGTGTACAAAGAGGCCGGGCGTGGTGGTGCAGCACTCAGGAGGCTGAGGCAGGAGGATCGCTGTGAGGTCGAGAACAGCCTGGGCTACATAGTGAGTTCCAGGTCAGTCTCAACTACATAGTGAGACCCTGTCTCAAAAGAAAAAAAAAAAAAAAGCAAGTGTACAAGGATTTTCAGTAAGGGCCGGGGTCAGGGATATTTCCTTGTAAGGCTAGGTTAAGACCTTGGCCTCCTATCCAGATGATTGATACCTATTTTTAATATCAGTCACTGCTATTTATCCCCAGGGGAAACAAGGGTGTAGCAGTTTCTCTCCTTTTACAATTCTGGCCTTCAGTGAATGTGTCTTTATGGTCCTCCATGTTGGCTTCTTCTGGGTTGGCCTTGTCTAACTGCCTACAAGATATCTAATTAAGTTGCCTATCTGCGATATTCCTCCCTCTGAAGAAGTACCCTAGCTGCTGTGAGGGAGCAAAAGGTGAAGACTGTTCTGGCTATTTTCTGTTGAAGAGCGTTGCAGTTGTGATCAGCAGTCAGAGTTACTGTACGGAGGGTCTGTCTAAAGGCCTCAGTTGGTGCCAAGCATCGTCATCTTGTTAACTCTGGAGGAGACAAAACTAAAGAAACGTTAAGAATAGGTGGACCAAATACTAAGGTCAGCAGGACTGCTATGGATGTAACCAACAAGGGTTTCTACTGGGAGGAAATAGTAACAGCCTCCCACAGAGGATGAGGAGAAGGTCCAGGGGACTTCAGAATCCAACACAGAAGTCATATAGTACAGTTTAGTAGTTCTGAGCTGTTTACAACGCCGATCTGGTGGATCCCAGTAAAAGAAGTCCAGCACATCTGTCATCGGTTCCATTTGTATGACTGGAGTTTGGCAGACTCCAGGCAAGAATAAGCAAAACTTGTAAGAAATTAGAGTATGAAAAATTTAAGCATGAGTGCACTAGAATGGAAGGGCAGGTTGGGGAGAAAGACACTTAGACACTGAAATAGTGAGCGATTGTAAACCGTTAGCTCTTAGATTCTTTCACCAATAAAGGTTGTAAGTTTGATACTTTGTCATAGGCTATGGAAATTATTGGGGTCCCCTTTGTGAACAAAGGCTAGATAAATTTTTCCAGGTGGCCACTCTTTTATTTACCAGGGGGAATCCTGTCCACTGTGCACTAGTTTTCCTAAGCCTAAGAGTATTTATCTTAACAAATTTTTAGATGACTATGAGAGCCCAGTATAACATTTAACACATTATTTTTGACCACTGAAAGATTCTCGAGTTATTATATATAGACAGCGATATGTACTGTATTTATAAAACCAGTTGACCTTGGATCATCTGGCAACCAGGGGGAAGCATGTCTTTAATTGCATTTATCTGTAAGCCAACCTGAGTTACAGACAAACATCTTACAAAATCCAAAATGCCAAAAGAAAAAAAGCTCAAACAAGATAGCTGTACATGTTGTAACAAATTGGACAGACAGACAAACTCATAAGACAACTTGTTTATAAGCCAGAGTGCACTCATGTATTTGGCCAAGTTGAACTATAATAACTTTTATAATTTTTATATTTATAACTATAAAAAAGACTAGTCAGAACTTTGTAGATCAGTTAACAGAGATCTCTTGCAATAAGAATCAAAAGGAGGGCCAGGAATTTAGCTCAGTGGTTCTGGTACCTGCCTCGCAAGCACAAGGAACCGAGTTAGATCCCAGTACCAAAAAGAAAAAAGAATCAAAAGGAATAAAAATCTATACCTGTGAAAGCAAAGATGGTTTTAAGACAAGCCTTATGCTGACAGCTTATCTGATTGCAATACCCTGCCCCACAGGCTTCTCATGGCTGCTGACAGCCACATATAACTGTTTCCTCTAAAGGGACGACTGTTACAAGTAATTTAAATTATCTCCAGTGGGGCTCACTCAGGCCAGGTTTGGGTATAGAGAGAGACTAGGTGACCCTCTTTGGAGCTAAGTATGAATTCCATGCAGTGAGGGAAGAAGGCTGCTAAGGCTCCAACCTGCTGTGTTGCTGCAGATGTCTACCTATGACCATTTTTTCCCATTTTGAAAAGAAACAAAGGGAAAGAAGGTGCCCATGTTTATCCCTCTTGTTCTGTGCCCAGTTTAAGGTGTCCCTTAGACTTTATCTTGTCCATTGCCAGTGGTGGCAGACTAGAGGTGCAAGAAACTGGCCAGAACTGGGTTAGCTGTTCTTATCAATCTCTGATTTTGCCTGAGTGCTGAAAGACCGATAAATCTGGACTAAAACTTTTACATTTATTTTTTGAGAGTTTCAGAATTAAACCAAGAGTAGTTTTCTGTATGGCCCAGAGATAAGTGAAGGTAAGCTTTACTCCTGAAGAATTCTAGGAAAGGAAAACTCACCATTCTGGAAGCTTTATTTTCAAATCCAGCAGCCACAGAGGAGGGAAGTGCCTTGAATCAAACACTGTTGAGAACTGTGTTATTTCTCAGGGGCAGGCCAGTGGAGAAGGAATAGAAGAGTGTCTTTAAAAGTATGACACGAGAACTAAATCTTAACCATCTCAGGAATAGAAGGACATTTAAGATCAGGAGCTTTTCCAGAGTAAATCTGCAATGCTCAGTAAAACAAAAGCTATGATTGAGTCCTAACTGCATTGGCCAAGCAGAAAATCAAACCAGTAATCAAAGAACCCGAATGGCTGCTCTTTGGCCTCTTGAAAGAGAATGAAAGTGTTCTAACAATATTGTTTTGGGCTTTTTAAAAATAAATTATTTTGAATCGCTAATATCTGATTTAGGAGTTAAATACCCTACAGGCTGTAAGCAGCTAGAAACACTCCCCAAAGCCATTATTAACATACAAACTGAGATGGTGTCTTTTAGGCAGGCACTTAAAAGTGCTTGTTTGAGCTTCTGGAATGTGGTCTGGGAACCAGGTTCCCACGTTAAAATAGGGTTTTTTTTTTAAGCTCATCAAGGGGCTCATACAATCTCACTATAACATGCTATGGAAAGATGACAAAAGCCTGTAATTTCTAGAAATCTCCTTAGCTGTTTTTAAAGTCTTGGGCTGTGGAGAGGAAAGAATTGATTTAATTCTTTTCTTCCCCCCAGTCTTTGGGTTCCCTTAGATGTAATAAGGCCTAAATATTTTACCTTAGGGCTTCAAAGTTGTGCCTTAGACCTAGAAACATTATAACCCCTGTTAGAAAATTCAGCAGAGCACAGGTGTCTTGGCTAGAAAGCTCTTCTGAGGGGGCACATAGCACTATATATTGCAAGACTGATGGGAAAAAACTATAGTATTTTATCAAATCAGGATCTAGGGATGTTGTCATCTTTTTCCTGATAAATAGTTGACAATTTAAAATAATTGAAGGACTTAGTTCTCATCTTTCTTAGATCTTCAAGAATACATGTCTGAAAATGTCTTCTATTTTATCTCCTATCTGGCAGGTGGGGGAGGGGAGTCTTGTGTTCCAGTAGAAACCAGTTATTCCCCTGGCTGCCTGTCTTTTGAGTTTCCAAAATTAAGATAATATTTGTCTCTAAATGAAATAGCAGCTTGTAATACTATTTGTCTCTCATTAGAAATCAATATTTGATTTAAGAGCAACATTAAGTCTTTCTAATCTAGTCCATAGGTCTGAGTAAATTCTCAAATGACCTTAATGTACTTATCAGGATTATCAGTAAACCTTATAGGTCTCATTTAATCTGTCTTAGATCACGGAGAGAAAACACACATGAACCCGGGTAGTCCCATGTTTGCCATTTTCTTCCCGGAAGGTTATTGTATTTGAAGGGCCTGAACATTTTGGTGAAGGATGGGTATAGCCTCATAGAAATTTAATTATGGCTGGCTAGAAATTCCACCCTCATCACCTGGTCTCATTTTTCTATGGCCCACATTTACATTTGAACACAAGCAAGAATTACTTTTTTGTGTGTGTGCTGGGGATTGAATTTAGAACCTTGTGCTTACCCACTGAGCTAAATCCCCAGCCCAAGAATTACTTCTTAATGTAAAGAAAATCTCAACAGAAGATGACTTTGACCATTTTTTCTCTTACAGTATAATTTTAATTGTAAGATAGGATCATAGTGCTTTCCTCTATGTACTTGGCTTTAGGAGCTAGGCACACCATGTGTGGGTGTAGAGAAATACTACTGCTCCTTAGTACATTCCAAAGGAGTACAAGGTTTAGATATGCAGATCCCAATCTGAAATAAGACAGAAGCAAATTCGAGATTCCATAAATCTCTGCTTGATTCCTGTGCCCCCTAGGAAGTCCTCAGGGCATTCCCCAAGGTTTGTTCCGCTCCAGGGTAGGTAGCTACCATCTGGAGAGAGACCTGGAAAGTAAAACTGGACTGAACTATCTATCCTTTAACCATCACACACTGTCTTATCTTCCTCAGGTAGCTCACATCCTTACTCCAGTAGATACTCTCAGAGCACAAATTACAATTAACTTTAGCCACAACAATCATGTTTAGAGAAGGAAGTATTGCTAGCAAACCAAGAGACTTAAACCAGTGCTTTTTAGTTCCTTGAAAGGAAAGTAGATCAACAGTCAAATTAGGGCACTTTTCTTGCAAAAGAGATCACCTTCAGAGATGGTAAGTCAGAGATTCTGCTCTGGGCCCTAGGGTCGAGAAAGCTCTGAGAAATTTCTGGTGTCTATCAAGTCATTTAGGCCACTTTTATTAACAGCAAGACAAGACTACTCCTTTAAGGTCCATTTTAAATTCACTAAGTATTTGGAACTCATTGGTCTTCCTAGCAGCCACAGTCCACATAGTAAAGGCACCTTTATCAACTTCTTATGTACAACCATGGAGGAAGAGAAAGGCTGATCAAAACAGTCCCATACCCTAGTTAGCAAGTAAACACAAATGCAAGTTACTGATTGCTATTTTCCCTAGTGTAAGACAAAACAGTTGTTGTGAGTTGTCTTAGTCTGACTTTCTGGAAAGAGAAGTGGTCATCTGACTAGGAGGGATGATCACATGGAATCCCAACAAGTTGGAGAAAAGTTTAAGGGGAGCTTCTAACTCACTAGTAGAGAGAAAAAGTCCAAATAAAGCTCAAGCTGGTTAAACATCCAAAAAATTACCATATAGCATTTTATACATCCACAGTCAGCGTTCCAAAGTTTACAACCTATTGGAAAAGGCATTTTTCTCCCCTACACACAAAAATGGTGAAGATCACGCCTTGGAGGGGGAGAGAAGGTTCAGGTAGTTTTTAGTCTATGAAAGATTTGTTTTTTATATTTGTCCAGAGATCTGTCTTACTAGTAGTAGAGAAAGCAGTCCAAACCTGTAGCTGAACTCTTGAACGGAGGCTTAAGAAAGGTCCCTGATGGCATCGTTTCACTCTGAGACAGAGGATTCCTGATGATCACTGACAGAGTTCCCCTTTCACCTCACGGAGGAGTCCAGATAGGACAAGATGTGGAGATTTTATGCCGATTACCCAGATGGGCTGTCGGGAGCTAGTTTCTTCTGAGGGACCTTTGGGTATCTGCCAGAGAGTAACCTTGGCCATGACTCCTCGGTTGTCACCTCAGTTTCTGCCAGTTCCACGCAATCAGAGATCTGTCTCCAGAAGGAACCCAATTGCCTGTCTGGTCAACGTTCCACCTGCCATTGGCATCAGTGGGACTGGGGATTCACAGACGGCAACTGGAGAAACCTGCCCTCTGCTTTGAGAGTGGCAGCTGCCCTCAAGGCAGTTACTAGCTGGCAGAGTAACCACCATTTGTTTATGATTCTGTAAGGTATAGATAAAACCTGAACTGTCTTTGTCTGAGATGATTTTATAAGAAACCCATTTTATAGCATTTTGAAGCAGTTAAGAGCAAATGCAACATATACAAAACAAAAATAAAATGTAATTTTAACAAAATATAATGCATAAGAAAAACAAGAAATTTGCAAACATTCAAAACACACAACTTAAAATTAAGGCACTTTTGAGACAAAAGCTGAAACAAAGGCCAGAAGAATTATATGAAACCAAAACCAGAATCTATGAAACAAATGAAAGTCTATGAAACAAGTTACAATCTATGAAGCAGAAAGACCAAAATTAGAGCCTATGAAAGAAAGCTTTTACCTCCAACCAGTAATCTTGGTGGAAGAGCTCCAAAATGATATAGGGGGAAGAGAGGTAACTCCTAAATCAGCTAGATCTCCCAAACATGAGTTCGTGTTCTCTAAAATTGAAGAATGAATTCTAGAAATGTCGGAGGAATGTTTATTGAGGGAAAGAAAGCCTCTGTCTAAGAGAGACAGAGGCAGACCGGAAAGTGGATCGCCCCATCTTTTAAACTTTAGGTGGCCCACCACAGTGGCAGCAGGTGTACACCGTGCTCCAGGAATGTCCGTCTACGTGGCCCTTTGCTCTGCACCAGCTTCTCTGTTACTCACCTCTGCCTTTCCTGGGTTAGCTGTAATGAGTCCTTGGAATACTTTTAAGTGCCCTTGTTCTCTCTTCTCGTGTGGTCTCCCTAGGTTGACTTTGCTTCTTCCTGTAGTACTTGTCTTTATCCCCTTCACTCATACTTTGGATCGTAGTTTAAATGTAACCCTTTTTCTCACTGCTCAGACTTGGCTAGGTTCCCCTCTGCTCATTGCATGCTCTCAGGGCCCTCAGTGTTTTCCCCAGGCAAGATCTATTTATTCACTGTTATAAATCCAGTGCCTGTAGCTTTTTTGGCAAATAGTGACCTCGCAAGTCAGTAGCACCTGTGTTTAGGAACAGAAGTAAAAATTTGAAAGCCAGCTGTCCAAAAAATGGGGGTTGGGCAATTTATATTTGGTATAATAAAATCATTAAAACTGTGTTTTCAAAAATATATTTGACCTACTCAATCATAATATTTTAAATCTTTCATTCTGCTCTAGTATCTCCCAGACGTTTTATGATAAGGCTTTATTAATTTTGAAGTCAAAAGTAGTTTAAAAATGTATGCTGTATAAATTCCATTTTTCCATTTTAGATTGCTATTACAGATTTACAGTCAGTTATAATATAAATTCAAGAAGCTTTGAAAACTAAAAGATTTTCATAACTCAGATTGGTAGCCAAACATGCCCTGCTGTGGGCCTTGTTAGAACACCGCTCGCATCTAGGGTGACTTTGTGTGTGTCTTGCTGTAGAAATGATGCTTACTACAGGCCGCGGCCCCGACCCGCTGGTGGTGTTGCGTGGCTCTGGTGCACGCACTCACCTCCTTTCTCAGGTTTCCCATCCGATGTTTGAGTTTCACCTGGTCGTGAGAGTTCTGGGTAAGAGTTTAAGGATCAGATTCTGTTCTAGTTATCTGTAGGTCTGAATGCATTATTTCTGTATATCATGGAGAGTTTTTAAAGGATTTTATACTTTGCTTTTAAATTTTTGTCAAGATGCATCTTCAAAAATTGGAATCAGCACACAATCCTCAGCAAATCTATTTTCGAAAGGATGTGTTATGTGAAACCCTGTCTGGAAACAGCTGTCCCTTGGTGACTATAACAGCAATGCCAGAATCTAATTATTATGAACATATCTGTCAATTCAGTAAGTCTTTCTTCACTCAAAATATCAATCATTCTCACTTTGTTTCTCATTTGCTTTCTCGAAATTTTACAACGAAAATAATACTAAACACAGGCCTCAGAATACTGGGTTCTAGTCTGGTTTTGTTGCTTCCTCACCATGGACCCAGCTCTGGGCCTTGGTTTCTGCATCTTGAAAGAGGGAGCTATCTTTTGATGCTGTTCTTTCATCTTAGCCTTCGAATCCATGTGCAAGGTAGAATCAACAAAGTGTTTCAAGCGTTCAGGTGATACGCATTAATTTAAAAATTGACAGCCAGTTTTATTTAGAAATAAAATAACCAGGAGTATTTTGATAGTTAGCTCTGAACAGCTACTTGTTTTTCTCTGCCATTTATATTTTTCAAGTACCACAAATATATAGCTGTTGTAGGAAAAGATGCAGGTGTATACAGTATCTGATACTGATAAGAAGATAAAATGTTTTAGGGAACAGGAGGAGCTTGTTACGTATAAAAACTTAGGTAATGTGTGGAATGATACTTCTATAGATTTATGCCTTATGAAAAAAAATGTCTGGTGAATCTCTAAGCAGATACACAGTACTTCTTTTTCCTCTGTGTTTATCATAGAATAGGAATAAGATATTTTTCTTCTTTTGCCCATGATGATTTGAAAATAATTTTATATTTTAAACTCGCCCAACTATTTTTTCTTTGTAAAATCAAGTTTACATTAAGAAACTGTTTACATATTAGATTAATCATTGAGAAATAAACAGGAGCGTACTCAAATACTGTTTATTGTTTTATGTTCATATATCAAGCTCCTTTCAGGAGCTTTGTATTGCTTTTATATTTGTTTTCTCCATAGGGCCTAGTGTAGTGCAGTGCTTGTACTTGTATGTGCATATTGAGTTCCACTATGAATTTATAGCAGAATTTACTGAGAAGAGACATTTTTAAAGCCCTGAGTGAAATGTCATACAGAGTTTTAGTAGTTGTTCATTTTAACTTGAGATTTTATGTGTACTTTAGGAAATCGCCCTTATGTTTTCTTATCTGCTCGGGTACATCCTGGAGAAACCAATGCAAGTTGGGTTATGAAAGGAACGCTGGAGTATCTCATGAGTAATAACCCTACTGCTCAGAGCTTACGAGAGTCCTATATATTTAAAATTGTCCCTATGCTAAATCCAGATGGTGTCATCAATGGAAAGTAAGTTAAGTAATAGTTATTGAAATATTGGGGATGACTGTGGTTATCCTATATAAACTTGGTGAAATAATAGCATCCAGGTTAATTAAGAAAGCAAACCCAGTGATTTTTCTAGAAGAAAGTAACTTTTGTTTACAAATTCATCTCAGGTAAACTTTTAAATGAAAATAATTTTATATGCTGGTTGTAATATAGTATTTTAAGAATTCTGTATCCATGAAAACAAGATATCATAAAATCTGTCTTGCTTAAATTGTTTAGAAAAGTCATTGTAAGGGTATGATAACAATTGTTAATACATGTCTCTGTTGATTAAAGATATGAACTTAGATTGGCTTAAGATTTAGAATTTAGGGGATCTCTTTCCACAGATGTGGAATGTTAGGTCCATCCACTAACCTCTTCCCAATAGGAGGAGGTATAGTTTCTGACAGAAGGAATTCTCTAGGCTGTAAATAATTGAAGAGAATTACTTCCTAACTTGAGGTACCTTTCGGCTAATACAGTAAACATATCCTGGCCATTTGGCAGAGTCCCTGAGTGCTTCTGAAAGATGGGATTTAGTCTTGCTGCCATGAGCAGCTCCAAAGATAAAGACACCATGTCTGACTTATGCAACATGATTTTTCTCATATTTTAGGAAATACCTGAAGTTTTAAAAAAATAGAAGTTCTTTTTCTTGAAATGTTAGGATTATGAAACTAAAATGATGTCTTTCTTTTAATTCAGAAACATTTTGACCAGCTAGAGTTATATTTATATTTTTGTTAGTGCTCTTAAAGGTTTTGCTTGATGGTTTTAATATTTAGAACTTGTAAATAAATGAAATGTATTTACATTTTTATAATTACTATGTACTTTTTATATACTTGTCTTTCTCAGAAGGACGATTCAGATATCACTTTACAAAGTAATCCAGTCAGGATATGAAGTCTTAGCACAGCAAGTGACTAGTTAGAATGGAAAGTATAACCAGTAATAAATTTTATGAAGTATGGAACAAAGCCAAAGGATTGAGAATTATCTTATTCTGTAGCTTGAAATTTTTGATTATAAATTTGAAAGCTTACCACCGTTTTATATATATAGATATACATATGACACCAAGTCTTACACTTAGGCAATGCTCAATAAATGTCTAATATGTGTTGTGTATAATGTATATTCATTTGAGCCCACAGTGTACACATACTTGAAATGCTAACAAGAATAAGTTCACAAAATTAAATCATAAATGTATATAAGAATTTATTGGTACCAGCTTTTTTTTAAATCTTTGTGCTTGTTTATACAGTCACCGCTGTTCTTTAAGTGGAGAGGATTTAAACAGACAATGGCAAAGTCCAAATCCAGATTTGCATCCTACAATTTACCATGCAAAAGGGTTGCTCCAATACCTTGGGGCAGTGAAACGCTTACCTCTGGTATGTAGCAATATTTACTTTTACTTTGTATAATCCAAAGAATGTTTTATTGATTCATGATTTCATATTTTATATATTATTTTCTGGTTACAAAAGCTCATGATGATAATTTCAAAAGCAGCTTTAAAAAATTTTCTATTGCCATATCCTATGTGATAATTGTGGTATCAAATTAATATGGTTTGTTCATGTTCTTTTTTTATCAGGGTGGTTGTTTATTATAAGCTTTTTACTTTGATATTTTGCTTATAAATAGATTATAGTATGACTAGATTAGACTGGACAATAGCCTAGATTACAATATTCATCTTCCATATTTCAAACTAGTAGAAGCTTGTTTCTGAGTTCTTCTGTCAGCTCTGAAAGTGACATCCCCATGTGCGCATGGGAAATGCGCCGGGTGTGGTGCAGGACTGCACTGAACTTTACATGGACAGCACTCTCATTCTGTCCTCGCTGGGTTTTTACTTGTGTTCTTGTCACATTAGTGATGGACTGTTCCATCTTCTGTGGGAAACTAGGAAAACCTTGTGGAGGCTGCTGCACTGTTGCACGTCTGTAATCCCAGCTACTGGGGAGGCTGAGGCAGGCTGAGTCCAAGGCCAGGCTGAGCAACTTAACTAGAGCCCATCTTAAGAAAAGAAAAACTGTGGAGGGATAAAATTGATCTGGAAATCTAACCTTTATTTTTAATTTTTAAAATGATAGCTTTACAAAATTAAATAAAAAACTTTAAAATAATTTTTCATGATCATTTTTATGTTCTTTTCAATTAGGTCAGAGTTTTAACAAGCCTTTGAGGCCATGATTATGGTGGCTGTAGATTTTAACTATAATTGAATTTATTGCGTTTGAGATGGTGAGCAGGAGGTACAAAAAGAAAGGGTAGAACTTGTCACTTGGTGTAAGACCTTCAAAGAATTTAGCAATTCTAGAATTAATTGTAGATGCGTTCTAAACTAGATAGTATTACTTATTAAATGCTAGTTATTCTATAATTAAAAGCCCAAGAAACAGGACTAACTGTTCATTGGCTTGATTGTACCGTTGACAGTATAGAAATTTGAAGAGCTTTACTTTTTAACACACATTATCCTTTCAAGGTTTATTGTGATTATCATGGCCACTCCCGAAAGAAGAACGTGTTTATGTACGGCTGCAGTATCAGGGAGACAGTGTGGCACACCAGCGACAGTGCAGCTCCGTGTGATGTCATGGAGGACACGGGGTACAGGGTAACTATTGGAGACGGCTCCAGAGCCTCTGCAGTTGGAACAAGTGAAACTATAACATAATTCAGCATTTATGAAAGTCCTGTACATGTTGACATCTTGCCATTTGTGTTTCAGATTTTTCATTGTAAGGTTTTGCTTTTCATGTTTAATTTGGAATTTATTTTTATGTTAGATATGGAGATCTACTCTTATTTTGTCTCATTTACCTACCAATTGTCTCAGCAACATTTACCAGACATTACACCCTATCTCTGTGGATTTCATGAAGTCACTGTTTACATTCAGTTTCTTCATTTTGTGCGTATATTATGAGCTTGTCAGTCACTATAATCATTAATGTTCCTATCTCTTTGCATACATATCATTTTAATTGTAAGTTTATAACTAGTATTGATATCTGGCAGGGTAAATTTTCCTTTCTTACTCTTTTAAAATATTTTTTTGACTCTTTTTTGTCTGTTCTTTGTGAATTCTAGAATCAGTTTGGGATACACTCTTGACTGTGGATCACAGTAGCACTGACCCTAGATTATGTTGGAGAAAATTGCTATAATAATGTATAGCATTGCTACCTGTGAACATCACCCATGTTACACAATTTTGCAGTTTTCATTCTTTTAAAGACAATAAAAGTTCTCTACATAAGTGTGATTTTTTTTTTCCTTACATTTAGTCCCAGACATTTTTAAAGGTTGTTGTAGTTGGGAATGAGACCTACCGCCCCCAGCTCCCTGCCCTAGTTGATCATAGGAAAATCATTGCCTCTTATCAAGAGAAATTTCTTTTAGGTTTCAAATCCTCGTGCAGAGGACTGCTTATCAGAGTAGCATCACATTTCTCAACGAGCAGCAGTGCTAAAAAACTTAGTGGAGCGATCCTCCGCAGTTCTTAGCCAGATTTCCAATCTATAAATTTTATATTTCACCCTAACAGGAGGTATGAAAACAAAAAAAGGTCTTCTCAGACACTGAAAGTCTCAAAAATCTGCCTTATAAATAACCCTTTTCTAGAAGCTACTTGCCAGAAACAAGGAGTATTCTGAAAAGGAAGAAGATATGAGGAAATTAAATCCAAGAAAGAGAAAACCTCAGAACAAAGGTGAAGGGAGAGTCCTAGAATACATGTAAAATGCCCAATTTGTCAGCCTTCAACAAATGTTCCTGCCACTACTTTTGGAGAGTTTAAAAGCCTTATTAGGTTAGGCTACGTTGAATGAATTAGATGTGCAAAGCACAGGGATATGAAGAGAAATTTAATTCAACCCAGATAACAGGAATGAAAGTGAGATTAGTGAGAGGCCCAGAGGATTGGACAAAGCCAGACAGAAGCACACTCAGAACCTTTGTAGTGCTTGCTGGATCACCACCAGTCACCACCCTTATTTAAAAATATTTTACTTTTGACAAAATCTAGAACCTAATCCCTTGGAGAGAAATCAGATTACACATTCATAAAATTAATCTCCTTCATAACCTTTAAGAATTATATTTTTAATTTTTGTATGTTATTTAATTAATGTATTAATTATTTCATAGACTGAATAATAAGCGCCATGAACCTACCAGATGTATCTCATTTGTTCATTACTCTCAATAGTTACTGTGTAGCATGGTATCTTATTTAACATGACCACTCAATAAAATGTTGAATGGGTTACTCAGAGAATGGCAGGCAGACCTGCGGGGCTATAAATACAAGACACATTCCCACTGTAAGAAAGAAATTAAGTGTCTTTGGTCTCAGTTTTCTCAGTATTGTCTTGACTTAAATTTTTTCTTTATTTAAATATCTGGATTTAGTTATGAAAGGAAACATAAAATAGTGCTATGGATTAGATAGACAAAATAAATAATTCATTTTCACCTCAAAGTACATTTCTTAAGATGTTGGCTGATACTTTAAACTCCCCTTAAGTGGTTTCATGCCATCTGTGTCTCATAATTGCATTAGTCACGGTTAGACTGATTCTCTAGGCCTCCTTAGACTCTTCACCTGCTAGTGAGCATCATATGTTTCCAGAGTTGTTGGGTGGGGATCACGATTTGATGTTCACTTTGCTACTGTAACAAACCAGCACAAGTACTGATGGGGGCTTAAAACAGTACACATTGATCAATTTAAAGTTCTGCACATCTCAAGCTGGTGCAGGTCTCACTGTATTTGGCTGTATGTGCTGCTTCTGAGAAATGTCACTTCATTTTGGTTGCCCATTTTTATTGAGTCTTTTAGGGGCTCTAATTTTTTTGAGTTATTTAAGTCTTCTAGATGGTAGTTCTCTGTCCAAGGAATAGCTGGCAAAAATGTTTTCCCATTCTGTAGGTTGTCGCTTCCCTGTGTTGGTTTTCTTTGCTGTGCAGAAGCTTTTTAATTTGATATGATCCCATCTGTTGATTCTTGGTATTATTTCTTGTGCCATTGGGCTCTGTTCAGAAATTCCTTGCTTATGTCTGCGTTGTGTTCGTAGCTTTTATATGAAGTTTGTTTTTGATTCACTGTTCTGTGATGTGGGCAGTTATTGTCATTGCTAGTTTACAAATGAGCAAACCAAAACTTTTGGGTCATTCAGCATGCTTGATGCCTTCCCCTGCGTAAGAGCCTAGGATGGAAGTGAGATGTTTGTACTTCAGATCTTCTGTGCCTTCCTTCTGTGTCTCGCCTGCAACAAGCACCCTAGCTCGTTCTGCAAAAAGCCTTTTAGTGACCGAACCACAGCTCTCAGCAGAATATAACAGAGCATTTCTTTTTTGGGGTCCTCTCTTTTCTTTCTCATTCCCAAATGAAAAAAATTGATTAGATTGGTATAAAAAATGGGAACACTCTGGAAATATATAAAGTAGTAAGTGAAAGTCATCTCAGTTATTCTCTTAACACTAGTTCGTTTACCATGTATTTTATGAGACCTGCCTCTGAGCCCATTCCTCTATAAATGTTTATATGTATAGCATGCAGTCTTTGTCTATTTTTATTTTCTCCTAAAACAACACAGTGACTTGCTTTTTCATATACTGATATTCATTGGCCATTTTTTTTGGATCATCATACCTGGATCTCAGTCTTTTTAACAATCACAAGACTTCCATTGTGCATTTTGTTTTTATTGCACCACAGTATAAATAAAATTTATTTGTATCAAATTCATTTGTTCAGTAGTCCTTGTTAGTGCTTAGTTCTGCCAAATTGTCCTTTGTAAAGATTATATAAATTGATACTCTCAAATGCAGTGCTATGAATGATCATTCACATCATTATATATTCTATCCACTTGATCGCAACACATGTCCAACTTTTGCAGTTTACATAACAGTAATAAATTACATTGAGTATATTTTCATGTTTTGCAGTTATGATCTCTTTTAAAATAGCCTTTTCTTATTTCTTGGCATTTATACTAGTTATCTATTATTTTTCAAATAAGAACTCTGGTTGTATTATAAATGTTTTCTAATTTATTTGTGCTTTGTAGTAATTTTAAATTTTTATCATTTGGTGACTTATTTGTAATGGCTTCTGGGTTTAATTTAATAGGGAGAGACTTCAGATTGTTACTTCTTAAGAGCTCTCCATTTGTGCCAATCCATATTTAATGAATAATGAGTCTTTTCTCTAACAATGCTAATATTTTTGGTTCTGTTCTATTTTCACTCTACAGCTATTCCTCTAGTGGTGTTACATTTTACCTTTCTTTAGATAGATGACCTAGATTGGATCACTTCTCTAGTCATAGCCCCCTTTTTTTTTTTGAGAATTTCTTGGGATGTACTCCCATATTTGCATTTCCAGATAAACTTGAGAATAATTTAAGTTGCAAAATTTGGGGGTTTGGTTGTGATTCTCTTGGATTCATTAATTTAGGGATGGTTGATACTTACAGTGTTAAATCTCTGTCATGGCTAAATTTTCTTCATATTTTAAGTCAGGATCTTCTTAAATGATTCTGTTGTGCTTATCTGTTGTTGTCCTCCCTTCCCTTATGTTTCCTAACTGGTCACTAACTAACCCACTAGTAAGAGGGTAGTTTGGGTGTTTGAGTAGCATGAGCTACAGCAAGAAGAGCCATATCATCCTGTGCAGCACTTTCATCAGTAATTTTAAATTAAAATAGCCTCTTGGTTTATTTTATATTTTTTGTTTTTACAGACTTTGCCTAAAATACTGAGCCATATTGCCCCAGCATTTTGTATGAGCAGCTGTAGCTTCGTAGTAGAAAAATCTAAAGAGTCCACAGCACGGGTTGTGGTTTGGCGAGAAATAGGAGTGCAGAGAAGTTACACCATGGAGAGCACTCTGTGTGGGTGTGATCAAGGAAAGTACAAGGTATAGCATATTACAGTTACTTCTAGGCGTGGAAATAAGAGTTCTCTCATATGTGCACTCATGATTTTCAATTATACATTAAATGTATGTTTATTTTTTTAAGTTCACTGAAATTGTGGTAATGGAAATGAATCATATTCTGTCTTAAAAACTGGTTTTTGGTGAGGTTTTGTTTTGTTTTTTGCATGCCATATTTATAGCAGTACAATTTATAACAGCTGAATTTCGGAAGCTGCCAGTATGTTTATCAGCAGATGAAAGGATAAAGAAAATGTGGTATTTACACACAGTGGAGCACTGCTCTGTGAGAAGAAGGTTAAACTCAAGTCATTTATGGGGAAATAGGTGCAGTTGAGGCCATAATGTTAAGTGAAGTAAATCAAACACAAGCATAAAAGAGAAACCAAAAATACAAATAAAGAGAAGAATAAAAGGTAGATAATAGGAAATAGATCTTTTGCAAATAGGAAAGGGACCAAGAGATAGAGGTAGGGAGGGCAGGGATAGGGGATTAAAAAAAGAATTAAGGATCAAAATGTATAATAGGTAATGTAATAGGAAGAGAAGGTGCAGAGGGGAAGGGGAAGCGGGAGGAGGAAAGGGCGGAATAGAATTAGTGAGAGGAAATGGAAAAATGGAAACAAAGTCTGTAAATAGGAAGGGTTGGAGGGGTTGAAGGGAGGACAGGGGAATGGGGGGAAAATAAAAATCAGGATATATTAAGGTACAAATCTCAAATACAATGATGAATGTCATTGTATTGTATACCTAAAATGTACCAATAACATTTTGAAAAATTAGGCTGTGTCCTGTACAAGTGCCAACTCCCATGAGGGAAGTGTTACGATCTACTGCAAACAGAGACTAATAAAAAATGAAAATTGAAAATAAATACCTTGCTTAGGATCCTTAAGAAATTCTTGGTTATTTGAGTCTATTAACCTTCCTGATTTTTAAGGAAGCACATAGGAGCACACATTTAAATACTGATTAGTAATTTATAAGGTACTGTAAAAGAAGGAAACTATTAATGAAAAATTTTTATTATTTTAATTGATTGGATGTCACTGTAGTTTTATGCATTTAAAGCTAAATACATTACACTTATGAAGCGACTAATTTGTTATAGTTTTTTGTGTGTGACTTCTATTCACATACCTTCACTAAATTTTTTTATTTACTAAAACAGTTCTTCAGTGTCATAGGTTTTTGTTAAAACAACCAGATTTTACTTTTGAAATTAAGGACTGTCAAATGCTAGGTAGTTTAGGGTTTTTTTAATTTTAAAGATTAAAGACAATGTGCAATGAATTGGACCTTACAAAGTAATAAGCAGACCTGAATATTTATTTTTCTTGCCTTGGCACAGAAAAGTTTTCAGATGTTATGTTAACAGAAATAGAGTTCACTTTGTTTTCTTTTTTTTTTGTTATTGGAAAGTAGGATACTGAATCTGATAGATTTTTATATACCTTTCTTAGCTTTAAAAGTGCAAACATAAAATAGTTGATGTCAAAAAACTTAGGAGAACATAAGTAATGATTTTTCATTACACAATAGACTAGAGGAAAATTCCATCGATTTGCAATGATATTTACACTTTTGGGGCCTACTGACGGATAACTTCCCGGAGTTCCGGTACTTCCTTAATGTTTCCATTGATCACAGTGTATCTTCTTCCAAAGTGTGTTACAAAATCTTTCCCGACGTCATGCTAGTGCCAGTGGTGAGAGAAGGGCAGTGCCAGCCGCACTGCAGCCCAGCTCTGTCCCTCCTCAGCGTATCAGTGGGCAGCTTTTGGGAGGCTGTCACAGGCCTTATGTGCGAGTGGTGCATAAGAACGTATGTGATGTTGGAGAAACATGGACGGTGTGATTTGTGGACACGGACACTGAATTACTTCATGGAGAGGTGGTTCGTGCAGCGTCGCTGTCTGTGAAAGCAGCCTGTGGGAAGGAGCTGCTGGAGTGAGAGCGGCTGAGACCCAGATGCCTCTTGACATCATTTAGCATTAGTGCTTACTTTTATATTTGTGTTCCACTGATAGACTTTCACTGGACTTTAAAAAATATTTTTATATTCTGATAAATTTGTTAGCCACTACAAAAATAAAGCTGAAATTCATTTTGAAACAAAATATTAAGGCAGTTTTAGAAAAAGTTTTCTTTTTAATATGCAACTATATAAACTTTAAGAAATAAAATATATACCTAAAAAACACTCATTTTTTTTCCCTATGATTTAGCTAAGAGAGCATACATTGATTTAAAACTGTTGAGAAGGCTGGAGTGTAGCTCAGTGGTAGAGCACTTGTCTGGAAGACACACAGCCCTGGGTTTGATACTACCAAAAAAAGGCCAAAACCAAATAAACAAAACAAATCCACGAAAGAGAAGTGTTTTTCTAAGCACTTTTTTTTTATGTTCATTATGCAAGGCTTTAGTAACATATGCTTTTAAAAATTATTAGCCTTTTGTGGTTCTGCTGCCTGCCTTGCAAGCACAAGGACCTGGGTTCAATCCCTGGTACCAAAAATAAAAAACTAAAAATAAATAAATAAATTTTAAAAATTTATTAGACCTTTAAAAATAAATTTTAGATTCACAATAAATTAAGTAGAAAGCACAGAGAATTTCTGTATATCCCCTGTCCTGTGTACATTTTAAACTTCTTAGCTAATAAGGCATGTAACTACTGACATTTTAGAAAGCAGTTTCCTTCCCTCTCAATATTTTTATGTCACTAATTTTAGCAGATAAATATTCTTACTTTATTTTACCTAATTTAGAAACAAATATATAAAACTTCTAAATTAAGAGGCCAGAGGAGTGTTGAACTAGTGAGTTAGGTCATATTTCCTAGAATATTTGGGAGATGGCCAAACTCTTGAGTCAAAAAAATAAAAAAAAAAACTAGTTGTTGTAAAGCCATGAACTTCATGCAGAGTAGCAGTTTTTATAGTTCATTTTCTTTAGTTACATGTGCCATAGGAACTCATTTACCCTGAAAAACTTTTATAGTACTTTCTCTTTAATTATATCTGCTTTCATCTGCAACTATAGCTTTTTGGTGTAAGGATTTTGTTCATTTTAGAAAAGCAGTTTGTTAACAGTTCATCTTTATGGTTAAACTATGTTGCTTATTGGCAAACTGTTGCTTTACAAAGGGTAGGGAGATTTAGGCACACATTTTTTGTTTTTTGGTTTTCTTGCTTTAATAGAATTTGAAGTAGGCATTGTTTTTTCAATTTTTATTTTATTAGTCCGTGTTGGCAGTGTGTCATGAAACATCATTGTGGGGAGCTCCCACGTGTACATGACATGTCTCATTTCTTCTTACACCCTTCGCCTTCCTTCCCGTCATCCCTTAGCCTCTTTCCCATTTGAAGTAGGCATTCTGAATTGACACTTGATTAATACCTCACCAGGGCTGGGATTTAGCTCAGTGGTTCCATCGTCTGTCTTGCAAGTGCAAGGATCCAAATTCTACCCCCGGTACAAAAAACAAAAACCTCATCAACTTAGATGTGTTTAATTCTTTTTTTGAAGATTTCTTTTATTTTTTTGGTACCAGGGATTGAACTCGGGTCCTTGTGCTTGCGAGGCAGGAGGCAGAACCACTGAGCTAAATCCCTGGCCCTAATTCTTTTTTTGACAGTTACTTTTTTATTGACTTAAAAAAATCATACAGTGCAAGTATCTATAGGGTACTGTTCAGATGGGCATGTTGAAGCTTTGATTAGCACTGTAGTATTTCAACACTGGCAACCAGAGTATTGGATTGTGAGACATACTTGGAAGGTTTTAGGAAAATATGGTTTCATTCATGAACTTCTAGAGAAAAATGAATCATGAAAAGTTCATCTATTTTTTTTTTCCCAGTTCGTTGGGAAAAATGATTTGCCTGAATAAAGTAGACATTTTAGAAACAGCCATCAGGACAGTTGTTTTCCTTTGTGACCTAGAATAACTGAATTCATATTGGTGGGACATATAACAACACATATCCTATTTCCTTGCCAACTTTTTGTTGTTGTCGTTACTGGGAATCGAACTCGGGCCTTTGGTCTTCTTAGGCAGGCTCCTTGCCAACTTCAAATGTTATTAAGATATCATTTTAGTGGGATAGAACTGGAGAAAGGCAAACTTTCTGATTTCTAATTACATGTGTAAAATTACTTTATTTTTAGGGGTTGCAGATTGGTACTCGAGAATTAGAAGAGATGGGAGCCAAATTTTGTATTGGTCTATTGCGTTTGAAAAGACTGACATCCTCACTGGAGTATAACCTGCCCTCCAGTCTGCTGGACTTTGAAAATGACTTAATCGGATCAGGCTGCAAAGTAACTAGGTAATTGACATTGTTTTATTCTTCTGTTAAGTTGTAATATACTTCTGGACTTCAATAGAATAATTAAGTGTAAGAAAAACAGAGAGATTTCAATAACACCATGTTTAGAATTAATTTAATTTTTCATATCAAATATTTTTTCCAAGTTGTATAGTATTCATGACTTTTAATGTTGATATTTAAATGAAATTTCAGTGAAATATCCTTATATTTGTTTTTAGTGACCTTAATAGTTTACCTTTAACTTGCATATAAATAATGGAAAAATATCCTATTTAGATAATATCTAAATTAAGAGGACTTAACAGTTAAGATTCATATTTTAAATTTTATTTTGTTAATGTCTACACATATCAGAAGGCTGTTCAGTAATCTGATTATATATATATTAGAAGCAGTTAAATTTAGCTAACCCTTGACAACTTACGTCTGCCAAATATTCTTTTAAATAGGTAATCTTTTATAATTCAGTGTATATGGGGCCAGGGATTTAGCTCAGTGCACAAGGACCTGAGTTCAATCCCCAATACAAAAAAAAATTCAGTGTATATGAAATTGACTAAGTTATGGGCTCAGAAATAATTTGACATTGTAAATCTTAATCATAATGCTATGACTTAGCATATTGTGGTTTGGTGTATATGGGTGAGAATAGTCCCATTTTATAGAACCTTCATGATTTTTGTTGTTAGTTTACTAGATACTAATCGTCATCAGATGTATCAGTGCAGCAGTTTGAAATACAGCAATATGTTAACTGGAATTCTTTTCTTAACAAATGTGATAGGTATGGTTCTCTCCACTTCAAAGGGCTGCCTAAACAATGGTAGAAATGAATATAAAGACTGTCAGTTCTCACTGATATTTAGAAGTCTCCTTTTAAGTTTAATTCGTATGTTAGCCTACACATTACAGTTACTTTAGATATCCTAAATACCATTTACAGTTATGAAAACCTCACAGGCTATGTTTTGCCAGTCTCACTCTTTTAAAAGAAACAAATACATATTTTGGAAATCATCTGTTTTGAAGAAATACACTGTCACATATACTACTGTGCCACATGATTGAACATTTTGGTAATTGTATTAGTTGATTTTCTTTGTGATTGTATTTATTTTTATTATAGTATGTGTTTAAAAGTCGTCGTATGAGAGGGAGTTCGTAGGCCTCACCCACCTCTGTTAGACAGTGCACAAAGGGTTAAGAACTTGTCCTCCTCATGGTGTGCCTATGAAAATACAAATGAAGTACTCAGTAGATGGATGGTTTTCCCTTTGAGAGTTTACTCTGTCTTCTGTTTATTACTTACGTTGTTATACAGTCCCCCCGTCATTCTTCTTTCCCCATCTCTAAGGAAATTGTACAATTCTCTGGTTTTTCCTTAACTTGTGTACCTGGATGCTTCGAGCTCCTCAGTCTGAGTCGCCTCTGTCTCCTCATTACTGACTTTAGGTGATGCATCATTGGCAGAAATATCACAGGGTGTGTTCTCATTGCATCTTTATGTAATGTGCCGTTTTAATTTGTCTCATTACTCAACATGTTGCTTTTCAGTGCTTAATAAAGATGATATCTGCCAAATTTCTTCATTGCAAGTATAGTTAGTAATTAGTATTTTTATAAGGGTATACTTTGCAACTATGTCAGTATCCCATTTCTCATCAAACTTTTAGTTTATTTTAATATTTATGCATATTAGACCTATGAATCACATTTTAATTTAGTGGACTTTAATCTATTTATCATTTATCATTTTAATGCTGAAAATCACCCCCATGTGGCCCTTTTGAACTACTCTTGAAATGCCTCCATCTCTCTTTGGTGACGCGGTCACTCTGTGGCACAGCAAGATTCCCTGGCTTGTGTTCATGTGGACTTTTTGCCGGTTTTGAATCAGCCAGTTTTCAAGCTCTCTGGTGCCTTTTGGTAGAAAGTTGTGTTTATATGAAAATCTAGGAGATGCTTTTGTTTAGTTTCTTTTCTTTTTTTGTTGTCATTTCTCTCAGATTCTCTTATGAGTGATAGAATATACATAAATATTTACACACATGAATACATATGTATATTTGCATGTAAACACGCATGCACCAACACAAACACAGAAGTGATCTGAAAATCCTGAGTTCACGGTGATGCCTTTCATTTAATCCCGTCCCTAAAGGTTCCATCGCTGACAAACCTGGCTCCTGTCTGTAGTTTCACTTCCCAGTCAGCCTGTCTGTGCGTCTCCTGTCTCCATTGCTTGCTCTGGAATGCCTCCCTTAATCCTCCCCAGCCTCCAGCAGGCCAGAGGGGAAGCTTTTGAGAAGCGATGATCATAGTCTGAGTGCTGGCATGTGGTGGCCATTGCTTGGCTGGTTGTATTCTGTTGACGAGTCACTGCATTTATGTGTTTATGCAGACTGCCTGTGGGCAGTGTTGCACCAGATTCTCAGAGAGTAGAAGGAATGAGAAGGGAGCACTGGCTCTCAGGGAAACTGACGGTGGTGCACTGGAGGGAGCGTGACTACATTTGTAAAGTGGCATGATGCTGGTCATAAAACAGAATTGTAAAATTAAAAATAGCATACACATTCAAGAAAGAAGAGTGAATTCAAGTGGCCTGGATTTATCTGAAAGTTTTCCTAAGTTTTAGGGTAGGACTTGAAAGATAGTAGATGAGTTCTGATAAAGAAATAGCAACATTATCAATGAGAAATAAACTTATGTAGGCAAGGTAGAAGGCTTAGTCCAGAGTTTAGGAGCTAAAGTTGAGGAAAGCATCAAGTGATAATGTGTTCTGTTCCATGCCAGCGAGTAGATTTTATGAAACAGAAAATATTGTATGTTTTGAGCATGGAGTGATAACAGATACATCTATATGTAACAGTCGAATTCAGAATGTTTTGAAGCTTACGATAGCATGTTAGCTCTGTGAAGCGTGGGCACTGAGCAGCATGGTGCATTAAGAAAGTGGTGGCTGCAGAGCTTTGTGGAGCTCTTCTTCGAGGTGCCTTCCAGTAGCGTATTGCACTGCTAGATACAGTTACTCAGTGTGCTGCTTTTTACCACTTACCAATCCAATTATTTAAATATAAGGTGACCCAAAATTGCATTTTCATTAGTTTTTATAAGACAATATAATAGGAAATATAAAAATGACAATTTGATCAAATTTATTCCATATAAGAGTCGACTGGTTGAAATGAGACCTGCCCGAGGAACACTCCCAGTAGTCAGTACGCACACAAACGCACTGCCCAACTGATGCTGGCTTAAACTGCCGAGTAGTTAAATGTACATCTGTTGTTATTTTGTTTTATTTTAATTGGTTTCCATATAATACGGATAAAGAAGGGGAATTTATGAGTTATTGCCATTTATGACTTTGGTTGTGTTTTGCCCTGCCCTTTTTATTGCTTCTTGGCAGCCTCCCAGAAATCATTGTAAATTCTTGTCTTTGCTTACATTATCAGTGATTGGTGGGAGGATTATATGTGTCGTTAGACTTCTTTCTCCCAGCTTTTGATATTCATCCTTCAGTTGTGCTCTGCATTGGTGATCACTAATGATGGTTACATTGGAAATAGAAGCAACAGTGAAGACAACAAGTCACTCGGTTTTATTTGTTGAGAGGGTAAAGGAAGGGGAGTGCAAGATTTTCATGAGCTTCCCTTTGAGTGCTTCTTCTCCGTCCTGTTCTGTACATGTTCTCCTCTTTGCGTCCTACCTGCTTTCCATAGGTGGCATTCATTTCTGCGATGTCAAGCTCTGTTTGTATGTTGACAGCCTCACACTCCTCTTGTGAGACCCAGGCCTGGGTATCGAGCCTCAAACATGATTATATACCATGGACACAAAATAAAATTTCCTGAAACCCAACTGTGACTTCTCCACCCCAGTTTCACACAGAATAAACGTGTTCATCCTTAGCCCTTCATCGGGTAGATCACATGCTTGGTGTTTCTGTCACCTAACCTTAACCCAGTCCATTCATGACCCAGAACTTTCTGATTCCTCCTCCAGAATATTTCTCAAATCTTTCTATTTTTGTCCACAGTGACACTAGATGGAGGTACCATAACTTCTTGCCTGCACTGTTCCTCTTATTGACTAGTCTTTTTCCCCGTAGCGTTTGTAGCCTCCATCTCCCCTATTCACTCTTGTTTCAAAACCTGCAGCTGTGTTGAGGGTGTACAGAATGTGTTAACGCACTCTGAAGTCCATCTGCACCTTCTGTCTTTCATCCCGTCCTGCTCTCGCCCTGCATTCCTACTGTGACCAGTGCATTGACATTTGATTTTTGGAGCCATTGCAGAGGACTGGTTTTTATTTCTGATTTGTTCAGGATTGATACTTGAAATATGATATGAGTGAAATATAAAAATAGAATAAAGAATCTGAAAAGCACTCAGTTTCTAGGCTCTCTCTTCTGTGGGTCTTCTGTGCTTCTCTCTCTGTTTAAAGATCAATTTCTTCTATAAAGCTTTCATGTCTGTATACTTAACTAACATGTAGGCACCATTTAGAAAAATTCTTACTGCTTTTTAGCATTAATGCCCATTATGACTATTATATCTGGAAATATAGAATATTCTCATGTGTATTTCATATTTTAGCTAATGTGAGTAGGTTTCTTTTCCTTGCAAGAAACATACCCTGAATTATTCAATATAATAACGAGGTTTTGAACCTCAGTCTTAACTATAAGTAATAAAACAAAGTCAACAAAAAGAACCATATTTTCCATAAAAAAGCACAATCTTATTGTATTTAAATATGCTTTTTCAATTCAAATGCCATTTTACCAATAATAGCAATAGAAAGTAAAAAACAATAATAAACAGCTCTTATTTTAAAACAGTGAATAATTTAATTCATTTTCCATGGATTGACCAGTGATATATTTATAATGTTTGTTAAATTTGAATCTTTAGTATGAAATGTTAGAGTTGAGAAATGTACTTTCAAAAAAATAATTTAGTATTAATAGCCTGCAATCAAAGAATAAGACATTT